GTTGGCCTTCTCCGCGCGCCGTGCGCTCAGTGCATTCACGCAGGCCGTGGCCGTCGGGTTCTGGCTGCCCAGATGCTTTAATCCGTATGCAGCCTGTTGAAGTGCCAACACCATTGGTGCTTCTTTCCGGCGCGGCGGCGCCAGACGATCGGGCGTCGCCAGCTGGGCCAGCGAGAGGCAATCCACTGATGCGGTCTGAAGCCGCCGCAACCGGAGGTCCCAGTTCTTGGTGGTATCCTTCGCGCTCCGCATAAGGGTGGTGCAATTCACGATATCCATAGAGTGCGCTGTGAGATGTGACCCTTGCCCCAACGCTTGAAAATCTCCACGGCGGAACGTTTGAGGAGGGATGTGCCGCGACCGATGTATGATCCATGGTTCTTGGCGGCGGAGCGTGCTGGGCCAATATAGATGCTTTCCAAGGTAAGATGCGTTCGTCACCGACCGTTGGTTGTACAGGTGCAGGGATGTGCTGGTTGGGGCTCCTGCATCAGCGATAGAATATGCCGCGTGCTCCCAACCTGCCGCCACTTTCTGCCAGCGCGTGTCGATTGTGACTGAGGGCGCAAGCAGCGCGCCGAGGCATTCCGCAGTGGGCGTCGTTTGCATTTTGGCCCAGCGCGGCACCGGCTTGGATAGCGACGCCTTGGCCCGCGCCTCTAGGTCAGTGGAGAGCTCCCCCGCCAGCGGAAAGATCTTGCACATCGGCGCCTTGACGGCCAGGCGCGCCAGGTGCCCCGCAGCATGGAAGACGCGCTGCCCAGCGGGCGAAGCATCGAGGGAAGGGCCGCTCTCACGTCGTCGGCGCACGCGACGGTGACTCCCTGCTTGAAGTGGCGCGCGCGGTGGAAGGTCCTTGATGATGGGGCCCGCGCCGGCCGCCCGCGGCGCCCCAGACCGAGGGCAACCCTGCAGGATGCAGGAGGCGAGCCAACAGAAGATCTGCCGAGTGCCACCCAGGATGGCCCAGGCCAGCGGGAACTCGCATATCGCGTCGGCCACGTTGGCAAAGCCGTGGGGGCAGCCGCCGCACCTGGGCACACGAGAGAGAAAGTTGCGGCACGTCGACGGGAACGCGTCACCGAAGTCAAACGTCATCATGAGTGGGTCCCTCTCCATCGCATTGGGCGTCATGGCGACAACGCGGGCTTGGGCGCCCATCGTCACCACGCGCTTGATGAATTGCCTGAATTGCCTGTTGGGGAGGATGCCCTTCTGCGCGTGGTGCGCCGACTTCGCAATGATAGGATTCATTCGTGCATTGCCTATCGCCGCCGCGATCTTGCAGTCTGTGCTCTTCAACGAGAGCGGGTGAGTCGCTTTCGCCAGCCTTGTCGCGGTTGTCTTCAGGCCCCTTGCCCTTGGGCGTGAAAACTAGCAGCGACTCCGAGGAATTAAGAAGGACAGGGGGACCTCTCATGATCTCAATGGCGACGTTGAGGAAGACCTGCGCGGCCTGCGGTGTCTTCTACCAAGCCATGTGAGGTAGCCCGCCAGGGCCAGGCGCAGAGTCGTTCAATTGCTCGAAGAAGCGCTGCATCTTTCCAAGGGGAGGTACGTCCATATCCATGCAGTCACAATGGGGGCCGCGCATCTCCTGGTTGCGCTCCACGTTGTTCTCGTCACTCGGCTGGACCGGGAATGCTGGAGCCCGCTGCCATTGGAGTCCGGCGATCATCTCGGGAGGAGAGGACGTGGTGGAGTGGCCCTGAAGTGCCTCGATGGCCTTGGGCTCGGGAACCGTGCCCGAGGTGGCCCATTGTTTGCCGCGACGCTGGAGCGCGCGATGCATATTGCGCAGGCGCTGGCTTGCCTGCTGCAGGGTAAACTGGGCGTCGGCTTCCGCCAAGATGGCTTCCAAACGTCGGTCTCTAAAAACGCGTTGCAATCCTTCGAACTACCGTGTGAGCGCCGCTGCGCCCTTCGCTGCGATGTTGTCCTTGTCAGAGATGTCAAGACGTTCTGCGCCCATCGCTGTCCGAACGCGAAGCGCCTGGGCGGCGTTGAAGTCGCCCCTCCAGACGGTTCTTAAAATCGCCCTGCAGATGGCGAGAGCCGCCGAAGAGCACGGGTCACGAGCATTGGCGAGGTCGCTTCTCGTCAGTCTAGCAGCTTCGCGTTGGAGTCGCTTGATCTCTCGTAGCAGAGCGAAGGGCAGAAGGTCGCGCCATTGAAGGTGGCCCCGCGAGCCGCTTCAAATAAGGTCCGGAGAGCCCATGCTGGAAGATGCACTGCGGGATGGGCTGAGCGCCCGGGTCTTTGTCTGGAAGGCGAGCCGACAATCGAAGGTGCACTGGCGCATGGTTAGAGGCGCCGCGATCGTGGAGCTCTTCTGGCGGCGCGGACACGTCAGCGCGCGCGCGCGCGCCATTGGATGGGCATCCATGGCGGCGCGTTGATGTAGATCTCGTCGATGCGAGTGCGCTGCAGCGACTGCTCCGCGCAGTGGGCAGCATCTCAGGGCCGATCTCCGCCATGGTCGATAGCGCCGCTTCCTGCGGGAGCTGGCGCCCAGGATTGCGCCGACAGAGACGGGGGAGGCCAGTTGATGAGGGGCGTCTGGGTCCCCAGCGGGGCCTCGCCCGCGAAGATGATGTCGCCGAAGACTACGATCGATGTGCGATCTTGTTGAGCTTCCGCCAGCGATGGTTCAGCGCGCGACGGTCCAGCGACCGAGCGCGCTTGCTGTTCGGCGAGCCTGACGATGTGGATGTTGTAGATAAGGGCCACGGTGGGCCGCGTGTCCGATCCCCCTCGGGGTCGATCGCGATGCGAAGGCGTTGAACTCGGCCAGGCGCAAGCCCCGAAGGTCGGAATGCGCCGCCGGCGTCGGCGTCGGCACGACAGGGGCCAGGCAAGAGAAGAGCAGCGCCGCCAGTGCCGCGCTCGGGGATGGAGGAGAAGATGGCGGCCGACCGAGGAGCGAGGTGCGCGGCGCGAAGTAATTCAGAGCGCGATCCGTGAACCCCCCGGAAGAGCAACCGCCGACGCGGAGCGCAGCGCGTTCATAAGCGTTAGCACCTCTCGTCTGCGCTGCGCTGCGTCGTTGCGCAGGAGAGCTCGGGCATTCCACGTCGAGAACGAAACGGGCGCAGTGGAGTCCGCAGGGCGCCAAGGCGCCAGCGCGCGGTTAAAGCCGCCACTGGACATCTCGTTCCCCGAGGGCGGCCTGTAATAACTGCTCGAAGCGGGACTTGAAAGCTTCCCTGTCGATGTTGTGCCTGATGCAGCCGTCGCAGCTGAAAAGGAGGCGCGACTCTGTCTTGCGGGTGGCGCCCACCACCGCACAGACCACTGGCATGTTGCTGCAGTAGAGGATTCCCTGCTGTCGGTCAGCGCGCCAGCCGAGGTCGAAGGCGATGTCTGACCCGGATCGAGCAAGCTTCTCGAACTGGAACTCTCTGCGCGCAGATTTCGCAGCGCGGTCGAGGCCGGGGTAGAGCCTGCAGGTCTAGCCGTGGACAGTGTACACCTCGGTGTTGATTTAGTTGCCGTCGGCCTGCTTGAGCTTGCTGTAGAACGCCCTGCTGCCACAATGCGTCACCCGAGAACTGCAACACGAAACGCTTGGCAGGGCTGCGTTCGCGAAGATCCCACTGATGATTGGCTGGATGCTCGCTTTGAACTGCTCAGTCGTGAAATTCTCAGCCGCCGTAACCCACGATGGTGCTGGTGTCGACGTCCCGGTCCCGCTCGAGAAAGTTTTCGTTGTCTTAGATCGGGGTCTGAGCTTCCTGCATATGTAGCTGACGTCGCAGCTCGGCCATCTGCTCTTAAACATTACGGCTGCTGTCCTCCAGCCTCTGCGTAGTGGTCTGCAGGGAGTGAATGTCACCACGGAACTGCTCGTTCTGTGCACATTGCTGGGGAACCACCGTGCCGAAGGGGCCTTTGAGTTGCTCTCCGAAGTTGGCGATGACCTCTGCCTTGGCCCTTGCCAGCTTGGCGTCCAACTGTTTCGTGAAGAACTCTTGGGAGGCCGCGATCGCTGCATGGACAGCCACCATGGGGTCCATGGGCTGGTCGCCATCAGCGGTGCGGGGCGTGCGCGGAAGAGGACAGTCATCCTCCGCACGGGTTTTCTTGCTGAGCCATGGGTCAGCTCCGGGCTGCTGCAGCGGGTCGCCACCGCCTGCACCTGCCACCTGGACATGTAGAATCAACAACACTGGCAACAGCGTTTGTGCCCACCACTGCCGCCGCCAAGCGCCCAGCCGCAGGGAGCATCGGGGTTCAGGAAAGGGGCCCTGCTCAGGTGGGGCTGAAGGAGACCACGAGCAGGAGCTCACGGACGAGGAATCACTATGCGCCCCAGGCGCGCGAGAAATCGAACTGCTGCTTGTGACGGGAGAGACAGCGAGCAGAAGCCCCGTGGACTCGAATTGATGCCCACTCCCCGCCATCTTGAGCCAAAAAACCTACGGACCTTTTTCATTTATATATATATACATATATATATATATATATATATATATATATATATACGTGCATACATACATACATACATACACAGATGTAGAGAGAGAGAGAGAGAGAAAGAGAGAGAGAGAGAGAAAGATAACGAGAGAAAGACAGATGACGTCGAGGGCCCTGCTCGGGAACATACGATGGGGAAGCGTATGTCCTCGATAGTGGTGCGCCCGACTGGCCCTCCGGGGGTGCACCACAGAGGGTCCCTTCTTTAAACATATTGTCCCATAGGTCTCTATACAGCCGTCTACAGACCAAGAATCTAGGAGGCGACGATGCCTCCTCCCGTGGTTTTCCGTGTCCTTTCGCTGCTCCCCTGTTGCTCCCTATGGCTCTCCATGGCCTCCCGTTGCCGCCCTTTGCCTGCGGTTGCCTCCTGTGGACTTCCATTGCCGTCCCTTTCCCTGTCCATCTCCCAGTCCCGATCCCCGCGCTGTGGCGCCCCATGGTGGCCCCCAATCGTGACCTCCTCCACGTCCTCGTCCCACTGGCGCGCCCCTTAAATGGAGCGTGGGTGTCACCGGCCGCGC